TCTCTCTCTCTCTCTCTCTCTCTCTCTCTCTCTCTCTCTCCCCCCTCTTCCAGGGTCTCACTCTGTAGACCAAGCTGGCCTAGAACTATGTACCTCAGGTCAATTTCAAACTTGTGATTTCCCCCTGCCTTAGCTTCCCTAGTGCTAGGTTTCTAGGCATGCACTACCACTCCCAGAATTTCTGTCACAATTTCCACACATACACTGTACCTTAAAATGGGATCCTGGGATCTATTCATACTGTGCCCCAAATATTGAGTCCTCCTTCAGAGACAACCCATGACTTACTCCTTAAGATATACCCCCAAGAAAAATGGATTGTAGTTGGTCCCCTTAAATCCTGTGCTGAGTCTCCGAGCTCTCCAGGAGTCTGGCTGGGGTTCCCCAACTACCTTACAGCCTCCAGGTCCACCCAAGTCTCTACCTTTCCCAGAACTTCCAGCACCTCCCTCCCCTTCCACCTCTCTACACTCCAGTCCCTTTTCTGTCAGTCTTGTCCCACCTCACCTGCACCTCACACCTCCCCAGACCCATGTAGGGGCCCCTCCCAGGCATCCTGCCAAGCCAGGCAAGCCCTATGGGATCCATGAGTCCAATCCCACAGCTTCAAAACACAGATCCTAGCCTCCCCCCTCAACCACTAAATCTCCATATTTTTCAACCCTCCACCTCCACCATAAGGCTCCCTTCTAGGTTAGGAATCCATGGGTGCAGAACCCTGTGGCCAGCTCCCTAATATCACAATAGTGATTACAGAGCGAGAGAGAGCAAGTGGGAGTCCTTGCAGCATGATGAATGGGAGTTAGATCTGACAGGAGTTTTTCACTCCTGTCTGTTGGAGTGAAAAAATTAAAATAAGCCTATGTCCCCTACTCAATCACGCGTTTAGCAGTGGCTAGACTGTGTGTGATCTAAAAGGAGCCCCTGATGAGGTCTCATGGTAAGAAAGGGGGGGAGGATGAAAAAGACCGACTCCTACCACACAGATGTGGATGTCAGGATGTCTTGCTATCTATCAGCTCCCCAGGGCTGACATCATCTAGGGGCCCAGCTACCTAAACCACCTGTTAGATTCCTACCCATGACCACCTCCTCTATTTCTGCCTCTACCTTAGATTTCCAGTGGAAACTTGGCCCAGAACCTCAATTCTAATTCCAACGCTCCACACTCCCCCCTCCATCTTTACCTGTGTTCTCATCCTGAACTTGTACCAGATTTTCTTAATGGGGACCTTCCAACCTCTCTTCGTCCGTCTTTTTTACCCCCTCTCTACTTTGAACCCCATTTCCTGAAGTCCTCCAGCTCTCTGTCCCCCAATCCTGGAGCTCTGATTCCTATCTCCAATTTTCTCATTTGAACCACTCAGATTTTGGGGTCTCAACACCTTTCGAGTGTGACCTGAAGGCTCCCTTAAATTGTTCTCCTTTGTAAGCCTAGCTCGGCTTGCCTGAGCGGCTCTTCCCAGCCTGAGCCTTGTCCCTCTGTCCCTCCCATACCTGGTCCCGGTGTCCCCAGTTCTTCTGCTCCCCAACTTAGGTCTTTGGCTCCCATCCAGCTCACAGCTTGCATTGCAGCCCCACGCTGGCCCCCCATTTCCCCGAGGACACACCTCGCCTGCCTCCGGGTAGTAGCTCCACTCGGCCAGGTCATGGGCCTCCATCTTCACCGAGCCCAGCATCCCCCGGGCCTGCGCCCCCACACGCCCCGGGCTGCGGCCCCCGGGGGGGAACCGAGCACTTGGGTGTCTCCGGCGGGCTCTGGCCCCAAGGTCCGCCCAGCGGCGACCAGCCCGTCCGACCTCCCGGAGTCCCGCTGGCCCAGGCGTGGC